ATTCTTTATTGATAATGAAATGAAAAATATGCCTCTTTGATGAATCCGCCATTTTCTTACGCGTATGTTTTCGTCTCCATCACGCGAGTACTAAAGTGGCTAGCAAACTGTTGAGATTCTTGCTTGATCCTCCATTTCCTCTGTTTTAGAAATCATCGGCTTGTTTTTCCGATTTATCTTCCTCCGTCCCTTCATAACTAAAAAGCTAATTGATCAAGTGTGAGATGATGCAATGCGTGAGTGCTGTAAAGCATTTAGCATTTATTTACAGCAGTCATCCACCAACACCTGTAATTTCTTTGTCAAATCATTTTTCTGGTATAATTTTACTTGCCAGGAAATGGCCCGAATCGTTCCGCATAATTTTGCATGATTTCTGAGCATACTCAGTTGGTTTAGTTTGGTTGTGTGGTTAATACGGGGGCTCGGTTCGCCTCGGTTCTTACAGTCCAGCTGTCTTGTTGCCCCGCACGCTCATCATCAAATGAATACAGTGGCGGATATCTAATCATTACTTGGATGACTGTATATGTGTGAAGTGGGTCGGCGTGGTGTGCTTGGTTTTATACGCAAGCACCGGGATTACCGGAAACATCGGGGCCGTCGATGTAGAGGTGGGATGCATTCACATGCAGAAAGTGTTACATTGTGACAGTTGCAGATGGATTCCGGCAAATCGCCACTTGCAATGCTTGCGAAAACCTGCGAGACGATTGGCTTGCCGGACACTCCGAGCCGGAAGTCGACCAGAGACAGCGACAAATCAAAGGGCAGCACTAGCCCCACCAGTAGCAACAGTATGTCCGGTGAGACAAAAAAAGAAGAAAGTCCAGCAGTGAAGAATAAAAAGGAAGGCTCGAGAAGCCCCCGCCATACGACGCATAGTCCATCAGTGGGCAAGAAAACTCCAATCGCTTCAGAGCCTTCAACCAGTGCTGCTGCTGCTGCTGCTTCTTTGCCCGCAAATTTGATGTTGAATTCGCGGAACTGCTTCCCCATGGGTTTTCCATCACTGACCACTGCATTTCCAACCTTTCCTTACCCATCCTTAATGCCAGGATTCCCTACAATGCCCACATTTGCGGCTGCCGGAGCATTCCCAGCTGGAACACCAAATCCTTTCTTGCGATGTCCGGATCCACTCACTTGTAAAGGTTCGTTTTCATTTCATCAGTATTGCTGTAGTCCAAAGACGTAGTTTACAAGCAGCTAGATTTGCTTTCATGCGACAGTTCCATTTTTCAGCTAGCGAGCCTGCTTTACACCCATATTCAAACATTATTTGTATTACTGTTTTCGTATGCAGTGTGGTGGTGAAGGGCAGGTGAAGTTCTCCTTCGAATGCACCTTGTTCAAAGCTCAACTACTTGGTGCTGCGAACTAGTGAAAGATGATGCGGCTGGAGCTGTCCGGGTGGATTACTGTGGGCTTTCACACTCCTTTCTGCTTTATGTTGCAGTTTACGGTATGATCAGGGTGGATTAGAAGCTGCAAAAAAAAAAAAAAAATTATTCAAATTTATGGTTCGCCAATAAACCATACTTTCATCTTCAAGCGACACATTTTGCTAAACTAATTTTGGTAATTTTTCAGATTAGGAGGCAGTGAGAATCGGGATAGGGAGGGCGAATATTAGCTGATGGCCGATTTACTGTGTGGTAAAGATTACAGGTTGTCCAGCAACGATGATGACAAGGTCATGTGTTACACCGGGTTGTACGAGCTGTACATTTCACAGTGCTACCGCTGCTGCTGTTGCGGGTACAAGTCCGGCTGAAATGATGATGGCCTTTCCGCCGTCTTTTTTTGCCGCCGCTACGTATAATCCGCTAATGACTGGAGCATTACCGCCAACATCGAGGTACTGCAGTTCCGTTCCGAATTTTTGACTTTTTCAAATAATTAATTGGACAGCTGATGCCAAATGAGAGACCTATCGCTTTGTGTAGTGTGGCTGCATTCAGATAATTTAGGCTTCAAAAACTGTAGGAAACCTCATTTCTTCTAAACATGCGCAGAATGCTTCTAGAAGACCTTAGCAGTAATGGTATCCGTCTTGGTAACATCAGGTCGTTGTCAAAATTTGAATGTAATGTGTTTTCATGCTTATCAGAGCGAGAAAGCGCTGCGTCTTGTTTCATTGGACTAGCCTTGATGGTCTATTGTTGGCCTGACCAACAAGCCATAATCAAAAGTTCGTGATCCGGGTTACTTTGATTTATTTGTACTCAACAACTGTGCTCACACGATTCTCGAGTACAGATAAATCGAGCACAGTTGTCGGGCTGTCCAAAAATAGGTATATAACCTAACTTGTTGCTCATACTTTTCGAATTTTTAAAAAAATTACTAGTTTTTTTTAGCTCGGCAGCTCAAATAGCTTATCAAAATTTAATGGCTGCAGCATCCGGGCAGGCAACCAAACACATTTGCAACTGGATTGAGTCATCAAATGGTATCTGCGGCAAATCATTCAACACTGCAGACGAACTTGCTACTCATATGAAGGTAGAGCTTTTCATAATTTGCCAAGTCTGTAGAAAATAAGACATGACTGAAGGAACAAAGAAGTAACTCCGGCGTAAAAATTCTTTCAGCTGGGTATCGTCATTGTGATGGATTCAACTTTTGGTAGCTGTAAAGCTTTGGTATTACAGGGGTGCTCTCACATAGCGGTGCCTTCCTGCACTACATTCAGCAGCCTTTGTAATTTGAAGAAAATCTGAGAAATTGCTTGGCAAAAGTGATGGAGATTGATTTCGAAAGCTTTTTGTACAGCCGTTCTTAATTTTGGGGGAACAGATTTACGATCACTGGCATGTAAAAAATGTAACGTTTATGCTGCAGAGCAAGGAGTTTCTATATGGACGTATAAGTTTATAAAAGTGTGTGGATGGGAACACAGTGGTTTGAAGTTTTTTCCGGAAAAGTTTTTGTTTTTTGATTCGTCTGATGATGCTTACCTGAATATTTGAATTTGCTGCTAATTCATAGTCTGACTTGAGTC